GCGTGCGTTTTATAATTTCTTGATAAATTTTTCTCATTAAAAAAAAGTTATCTTTCAAAAGATGGTGTGTCACTCCTCTACTTAACTTCAAAAAGTTTGTGGAGAAATAGGATTGGAACATAATGCGAATTTTCTAGAATATGTGTATATATATGCATACATGTACATACATATATATGTGGAATCTACTTAACTTCAAAAAGTTTGTGGAGAAATAGGATTGGAACATAATGCGAATTTTCTAGAGTATGTGTATGTATATGCATACATGTACATACATATATATGTGGACAGAAATTTATAATAAAGAATGGCTCATGTGATTATGGAAGCCAACAAGTCCCAAGATCTACAGTCTGTAAGCTGGAAGCGCAGGAGAGCTGATGGTATACTTTCAATCTGAGTCCAAAGGCCTAAGAAACAGTGGAGCCAATGCTGACAGGCAGGAGACCTAGGAAGAACTGATGTTTCAGTTTGAATCTGAAGACATAAAAAAAACTAATATCCAAGCACAAAGGTAGTCAGAGAGGAGGCGTTTCCTCTTACTCTCGGGAGGGTCAGCCTTGTTATAGTAAGACCTTTCGCTGATTGGATGAGACCCACCCCACATGAGAGAGGGCAAACTGCTTTACTCAGTCAACCTATTCAATTGTTAATCTCATCCAGACACATTCTCAAGGACACACCCAGAATAATGTCTGACCAGACGTTTGGGTAACTGGGACCCAGTCACCTGGACAGACATATAAATTTAATCATGACACCTGGCATGAAAGGTCCTTTATTATCCAGCCAGAACACATCACTTTAGCTGCAGTTTCTCATATACCTCCCCAATTTGGACATTCAGAGCTAGTTTTATTTCCTTGAAAGCATTTTGACTATTCACATTAATGTGTCTTCACAGGTGTTTTTCCCCCTGCTTGGGTGTGATCGCCCTTGTCTTAGTTTGAGTCTCCCAGGAAGCAGATCCTGAAACAGGGATTCAAGTGGAAGTAATTTATTTGGGAGGTGATCTCAGGAAACACCAGTAGGGGATGGGGAAGTGAGACAAGGAAGAGAAGGAAGGTGATAAGGTTAATCATAGCCAGTTACCACTGGACAACTGGGGCTCAGTCCCAATGGAAAGGGGGAGACTCACAGCAGTGGTGGGGAATATGCCTCTAAATGGGCCCATCTGAGCAGCATGGGAACTGGGATACTTAGATGCAAATCTTGTTGGTCATTTGGGAAAGGCTGACCCTGGAGGGTAATTCCCTGGTATTTCCTGAGTGGTCTCCAGCAACCAGAGAAAGCCCTCAGGCAAAGGGCTTGAGGCTGGAAGTCAGGCTGGCACAGGTCAAGGGACAGAGGTATAGGGGGGACACCCATGTCTGCCAGGCATCTCCGGCTGCCTTTCTCTTCCCCTGGCTGACTTCAGCTCACCTTTTGGGACTCAGCCGAAGCCTTACCTCCTCTGGAAAGCCTTTATAGGCCTTCTCTCTGACTTAGCTACCTCGCATCTGTTTCCCGATAGAATCTATGCATGCCTCCATCAGAAAATCCTGTACTTCCTGCTCTAACTGTGGTTTTACTTTTATATGTCACCCACTCTGTGAACTCCTTGAGGAAAGACATTATCAGCCAGTATCTTCAAGGCCTGGCATAGTTGTTGCACATGGTAGAGTTCAAAAAATGGTTGTTTAAATAGCAAAAGTTGTAATAATGACATCATAATAGTAATAACCAGTATTCATTGAATGCTCATTTAGTGTAAGCATTTTACACACAGAGCAACCCCAGGAAATTGGTAATTTTATTATCCCTATTGAAGATGAAGAAACCGAGGTACAGGTTTCACGTTGTTTGCCAAAGACTACGTAGTTATACGTGTGTTGGGCCTGGAAGTAAACCCAAGCAGTCTGAGTCCAGATCTTGGACTATATGAGTAAATCAGTGAATGAGTGAAATGAATGAATGAATGAATGATAACACAAAGTCTGATCCTTTAACACATGGGAGTCATTTGGGGAATGATGTTGTCAGGACAGTCTGTAAACTTCAAATATCAGTTCCAATGTCATGTTTTCCAGGAAGCCGTCCCAGTATCCTAACTGGAAGCATCAATCTCTCCTCTGAAACCTTTGCAATGGCACTAACTTCTGTCTACCATATGTTGAAATTTATCTGCAAGTCTTAATGTCCTCACTGCTAATAAGATTCTAAATAACTGCTTAAGTGTCTGATTCATCTTGGTGTTTTCTACCTCCCCAAACACAAAGCCTTGCAGGCTACTAATGAGTGTTTGCCAGATGGACACATGGAAACATAGGTGACAAGCAAAGGGATCTTTGACTCTTCTTTTATTGTCTCCCAGAAACTGTGGAGACTCTTTTTCATCCCCCTCTGAGATTTCAGAGTCTGTTGTCATAGAGACTTTAGATGGTTTTGGAAAATAAGATTCAGTTTAAATGTATTAAGTTCAGTGAAGAATTTGTGAAGAGTTTTCTTTCTAACATTTTGATAATCATTTGGTTAGAAAATTATATTTCTAAGAAATAGGTGTTTCTTCCAAAACTGCATTCATGGAAAGGATGAAAGAAATAAATTATATAGAAAACCACCAACGTTTCTAACATATTCGAATGGTAGAAAATTTAGTTCTTTAAAAGTTAATTATACCCATCAAGAATTACCTTTCTAAAATCTCAAATTAAAGTCATTTTTTATTTCCACTGACTAATATATCTCTAGTCTTCATCAATAATCAATACTTAGAAGAGTGCCCTATTGAATAAATTTGGCTAAGAGATAAAGCACATATCTAGGAGAAAGTTGCAGATCTTTCACTGAGCTATCTTTATTTACAAAGCATCAAATAAATACAAGGTGCCTCACTATGTATGAGATGCATAGGACAAAACAGAAATTTAATTCAGTAGAAATTTATTTATTGATTCTAGCACATAAAATAGATGGCATTAGGTGCCAGAGAATACAAAGGAACATAAGCCATGGTCTCCATCTTCACAGAATTTATGATCTGGAAATGAGCATATAGAAGACAGATATATTAACAAGTAACTAGACTATGAGGTTTTTAGGGTAATAATAGCTAACATTTAGCACTTAATGATGTTTCAGTAGCTGTCCTAGTGCTTTTCATGGCATTATCTCATTTAATCCTTATCACAACTCTATGTAGTAGGCGTTATTATTATCCCACTTCATAGCTGATGAACCTGCAGCTTGGGAAGATTCGGTAACTTCTCCAAGATCACATGCCTAGGGACTGGACAGGTAGAGGAAGAGCCAGTATGCAGACCTAAACCCCTATGTCCTTAAAGTTCATGCACAGAAGGCAGTCAAAATAAGGTACACTAAAACCACTATTCATTCAAACTTGGGTCAAGCAAATGCTATGGCCCCTAAGCTTGGCTTGAAGGATGAGGGTGAATAGAGATAGAGAAGGACATTGCTAAGAGGACCAAGGAAGGTAGAGGAAGCTGAAGGGGTCCTGGAGAGAACACACAAGAGCCCAGTGCTGCCATCCCTGTGGGCATGTAGGTAGGAGCATAAGTGTAACAAAGAGGTGGTGAAAACTGAGAAAAGTGGTTGGAATTAGATGTCATTGGCCTTGAATGTTGCTGGGAAGAGTCTAGACTTTGCTCATTAGGCTGAGGGCGGTCACTGAATGGCTGTGAACCAGATCAGAGCTGTATTTTAGGATTGATCTGGCAGCTGCTTGTGCAAGGAATGGGAGTCAGAAGGGGGAAAAAGAGAAAATAGCTGAGGCAAATGGTACTGAGAGTCTGACTCTGGATTGCAAGACCGTGAGCAGCAAGGAGGACACATGTCAGCAGGACGAGATTCGACACTGACGGATGTTCTAGTGCGTTCAGGCTGCTTTAACAAAATACCACACACGGGTGGCTTATAAACAACAGAAATTTATTGCTCACTGTTCTGGCAGCTGTAAGTCCAAGACTGCCAGCACTGGCAGATTCGGTGTCTGATGAGGACCCTTTTCCTTATAAACAGTCCCTGTGTCCTCAAACGGCAAAAGGGGAGAGGGGTCTCCCTTGGGTTTCTGTAATAAGAGCGCTCATCCCGTTCATGAGGGCTCTACCCTTGTGATCTAATCACCTCCCAAAGGCCCATCTTCTAATACCATTGCCTTGGAGGTGAGGATTTCGACATATGAATTCTGGGGTTGGGGGACAGGACACAAACATTGAGAACTTAGCACCTAATGTAGGGAACATGCAAGGAGAGAAATCTTGTGTCAACAGTTCAAAAGAGCAAGCATGTCATCTGTAATGCAGAGGAGTCACATGAGCTTGTCCAGCTAAAAGGGCAACCCCTTTAATGGGAGATGAATGTTCAATGAGAATGGAGCAACTGACGTGGGGGCCCTGGAAAGCATGTGGTTAAAGGTTTGCATTTACATGTGCCGCAAGCAGCACTTTTCATGGTGCAGTGAAGCAATTTGATACGTGTTGGCCTGCAACCAGCTGATGATGTCACGTTTCTCAGATACTTGAGGTGAGCAAGTGCACCTTTAGGAAATGTGGAAAATGTGGCATTTAAACTCTGTGATTTTTTAATTTTGAGGAATTGAAATGACTGCAGTGACCATACATAACATAACTTATATAAATAAAACAAATGATTGTATACATAGTTTGTTATAAATATGTAACAATTTTTAAAAGGCAATGTAAACTCTAGGTGTTTTTTTTTTTTTGCTGGTTGTTATAGGGTCAAACCCCAGATTTCAGTGTTATCAGCACCATGCTCTAACCAACTGAGCTAAATGGCTGGCTTGCTAGGTGTTAAATTGTGCTCTAATGTGTATTCTAATTTAGCATGTTAACAACACAACAGAAACACATGCTTTAACAGTCTCTTTTCTACTGAGCTATTTTTTTCATTGATTTTTTTATTTAGTCAAATTGAAGAATTCTAATGTTTTCAGTTTTTACATGAATATTTCTTTATCTTTTCCTATTCTTTAATAGATGATAATAATGAAGAAGAAGATGTTGACATGAAAGAAGATTCAGGTAATAAATTTATGATTTTATTACTTGGGGATAAGCAGAAATCATGGTTTTTTATGTATATTTTGTATTTTTTTAAAGAAAGACAAAATAAGTTTAATAAAATAAAATTGTATATTCAGTGTCATAAAATATGAAAGTAGCTGTGCCAACTCGTAAGACTGATAACAGTTACTGTATTTAAGCATTAAAATAAGCAGAAATCATGGTTTTTTATGTATATTTTGTATTTTTTTAAAGAAAGACAAAATAAGGTTAATAAAATAAAATTGTATATTCAGTGTCATAAAATATGAAAGTAGCTGTGCCAACTCGTAAGACTGATAACAGTTACTGTATTTAAGCATTAAGTTTGACTTTGAGCTTCCTGACAGCCAAGGTAAAAATGAAACATGATATTGTAGTTAAGGGTTGTATAGCAAATCACCCCCAAAACTGAGTATCTTAAAGCAACCCCTTATTATGCTCATATATCCAGTGGGTGAGGAATTCAGACAGAGTACTACGTAGACAACTTGGTCATCTTGTTCCAAAAGGTCTGGGGCTCAGCAGGAAGACTCGACAGCTGGGAGCTGGAATCATCTGAAAATTCATCCACTCCTTTGTCTGGATGGTGATTGATACTGGCTGTCAGCTGTAACCTCCTTAGCTGGGGCAATTTTCTGAAACACTTTTAAATGGCCTTTTTATGAGGCCTGGGCTTTCTCACACGTGGTGGCCAACTTCCAAAGGAGCTTCTCTTGAGAGAGTGAGTGAGTGAGCCAGGGAGAAGCTGTACCCATTTTAAGACCCAGGCTTGGAAAGTCCATGGCATCACTCTCACCTAACTCTGTTCTTTGGAACATTCACAAGCCAACCCAGGTTCAGGGGAAGTGAAAATAGACTCAGTCTCTTGATGGGGAGTGCTTCTGCAAAGTATGTGCAACCTAAAATGTTGCCAAGGCCATCTTTGGAAAATACACTTTCCACATGTGATATATTGTTCTCATTATCAGAAATTAAGATACATGCCAATTTCTCAGAAGGACCAGTGTTTATGAGGGAAATCTAGTAATTAAAAGCATGGGTTCTGGTCTAAGGTAACCACTCAATATGTCCTTGATAATGAATGCATGAATCAATAGGCCTGAATTCAATTCTAGCTCTGCCTCTTGTTGACCTTAGGCAAGCATCTTTTTCTATACACCTGTTTGCACTTCTGAGGGTAATAAGTCTTACCGTAGAGTTTTGTTTGGGGGATTAATGAGATAACATGTTTGAAATGTTTCTCACAGTGCTTAGACCATAGTAAACACTCAATAAATTATTGCTCCTTTCTCTTTCGTTCTAACAGATATTGGAAGGGTATAGAACTTAATTCTACGGTTAAGAGTTCCCCGTTCCCCATTTCATCAACCCCACTGCTCTAACCATAAAATGCAGCCAAGTTTCAAAATTAAAATTGATATCTCTAAGGTCCAAATTTTGTGTTACCTCCCATTTGATACCAGAACTCCTGCAAACCCCTGGCAACCTAATTTTGAATAGCTCCATTAACAGGGAGTTTCTTTAAATTCTTATGCAACTGATCTCGTTAGGTGAAATTTGGTTGAAATCATTCTTCTCTTTGTCAATTAAATCTTTCTCCTTCCCCTGACCACTCATTATCTTCATGGAAAAATAGCACCAGTTCCTTTTCCTCATAAAAGTTCACTGGAACAGTGATTATGGCCTATATCTACTCTTCCACAGCCTGAACATGTCTGATTCCTAGGATTCTCTTGGTCTCCCCAGAAGCGATGGATTTCTAGGGTATGAGAAGCAGAGAAAGAATCTAAAAGTCAGGGGCAAGAATGAAGGAGGTGGGAGAGAGACTGTAGTAGTCGCTGTTGGTGCCCTGTCCATATCCCCTTAGAACTCGCTGTTGTATTATGATACCAACAGATTTCTAGGGGAAGTTTTATGACTCTCGGCTGAGTGCTTTTCCCTGGTCATGAAGGCAAACTCAAAGTATCAGCGAGTGAATTTCTCTGGAGCAGCCCTCAACCAATGATGGACAGGAGATGGCTGAGCAATACCCCCAGAGGACACATCAGAGGCATGTTCTTTTCCTGTACTGTCCAGGAGAAACACAGTGTGAGCGTTAAAGATGAACCTCGTGTATAATTTTAGATTTTCTAGTATCCACAGTGAAAAAAGAGAAGCAAGGGAAACTAATCTTAATAATATCTTGTATAACATAATAATCCAAAATATTATCATTTCAACATATGGTCAATATAAAATTATGTTAGTCAGATATCTTACATCTTTTATTTTTTCATACTAAATCTTTAAAATCGGAATGTATTTGGGCCGACCCCGTGGCTCACTCGGGAGAGTGTGGCGCTGGGTGTGCAGCGGCGCTCCCACCGTGGGTTCAGATCCTATATAGGGATGGCCTGTGTGCTCACTGGCTGAGCAGGGTGCAGAAAACACCGAGCCAGGGGTTACGATCCCCTTACCGGTCAAAATAAAATAAAATAAAATAAAATAACCATATGTTGAAAAAAGACTTTAAATAGTCACCTTTAGACTAACTTCCATGAATTTAATGTTAATGTTTTCCATTCTCATTTATCCTGCTCACATGAAGTGTCCTTGGAATATCTTTCAGCCGTGGGCTGAAAGCCATGCCATTCTAGCCAGTCAGTAAAAGGACCTTATCTTGCCATGGGTCATTTGCCTAAGTGCCATAAGTACACATTTCTAGGCAAAGGGAGTTAACTTCGTAATGAGATTAGCTAGCTATCCAGACCACTGAGTGATTTTAAGGAAATCATTATTAATGCTAATGAAGAGTCCACAAGGTTGGAGTTTGAGGGCATTAATTGGATCATCATTTCTGACTTCCTGGGTGTTTTGTCTCTAGCAGTTGGATGCAGCTGTTTAAGTCACACTCAATGGTCCAAGGCTTCTCAGCCGTTCAGGCAGGAGGGGCTTGGGAAGCTACTCTCCATTTCCTAATATCTGACTGCTGAAGTCATGGAGGATTTGCATGCTGGATGGTTCCATGGTATGCCAGCTGGCCTTGGCAGACATTGGTGTACAAGCAGGCTTCATTCAGATTTCACACTTGAGCATGTTAGTCTCCAGGATGAGTCTAACCAGCCTCCCAAGATCATTGACAGCAGCCTTCCCTCTGCCCTGCATCACCTCTTCTCATACAAAGAGAAAAGCTGGAGGGATTTTTAAGAATGTAATTGGCACTAGTGAAGGGCTATTTGAGTGAGTCAGCCTGCCAACAAATGCTAGTGAATGACAGTCAATAACAACTTGAATACCTAAAACCAGTGGGGTGCTGCTAAATTGACTTTCTGGGTTGGAGGAGCCCTAACGTGAAGAGCGTATAGATTTCTGTGGTGTAAACTCACCTGCCATGGTCTTTTTCAAGCTACCAAACATGAGGTCAACGAATGTGAGAGGTGGGGAGAGATGGTAAAATTAGTTGTTGTGAGCTGGCTCAAGTCAGCCCCAGCACAGCTTTGCCAAGCCAGACTTTAATTGGCCATGCCCCTTGTGCCAGCCACTCGACATGCATGAATTCTTTTAACACACACAACAACTCCATGAGGCAGAGACTATTACTACCAAGGCCTTTAAGGACTAGTTCCTTGCTTAAACAGCAGAGAAAGAATTTGAATCCAGATTTGCCTGACTCCAAAGTTCATGTTCTTAACATTCTTGCTCCTGTCTCCAGACTCTAAGTCCTTTAATCATCTTCTTTAATCCTGGCATGGTAAGTGTTTTCCCACGTCCTTTAATCTCCATGACTATGCACTGTTGAAATCAGCCCCAATCTGAGCCAGCAGGGACAGAAAATCAGCAACCACCTATGGCAAGTGAACCACATCAGAGCCCGCTGCACAGCTGAGTTCCTCAGGGGGCAAAGCCATGCTTATGGCAACGTTCCAGGTTTCCACCCTCTGTCAGATACAGAGGAAACCTAGAATACACAATACACTGTCAAGGAGAAGCATGGGGGTGCTTTTAAGGAGAAGCAGGAACAACTCTCTCTTCAGCTCCCCCAGGCCAAGAGAAGCCATATGTATCAGTGACTTTCATTTGAATCCCCCAATACACTTTACCCATGGCTGTCATGAAATGATGCAGTACTTGTGTGACATATGACTGTTCATAACTAATACGGATACATGTCTACTGACTACCCGAGGAGTGTCCTACAACCTTTTCAAAAAATGAAGTACTGGGCCGGCCTGGTGGCGCAGTGCTACAGTGCGCCGCTTGGGAGCGCGGTGGCACTCCCGCCGAGGGTTCAGATCCCACATACAGACCGGTTCCCGCTCACTGGCTGAGCGAGGTGCGGGCGTAACACTGAGGGTTGCGATCCCGTTGCTGGTCCTGGTCCGGTACGGGCGCGACACTGAGGGTTGCGATCCGTTGCCGGACACGAAAAGAGACAAAAAGGAAAATAAAAAAAAAAAAAATGAAGTATTAGTATTTGGGGGTGCTTAAATATCACACAATACACAAATAGATGCCCTTTTAAAACTCACCCAGTCCCTAAGAATTCCCATTGAGATGGAAAATCACGAAATACAAAGTTAACTCAAAAAAACTCTCTTTCAAGAAATGCTGGTTTGGAGCTGAATTTCCAGCACTGGAAACTCTCTTCTTGATTCCAGTTGTGAACGACACATTTCAGGGGCATGGAAGGGTGAGAGTCCTCTCCCAGGGAGATTGCAAATGTTGCTTTGCCCATTTTATGAATCCCTTTGAGACCGGCATTTGTACTCAGTGAGCTGTTTCAAGCATCTCATTTCTGTTTTTGCTGAACCCATTCCAAGGGTCAGCATCCATCTCACACCTGGTGACAGAAGTTTGGGGGAGTTGTTAATGTAGTCATTGGCAAAATTTTTCACTCTGGCCATGGTAATGACCTTCGATGTGACTGACTCGCAACCACAGAAAACCTAGCATAGTGCCCAAAATCTTTGTAGTTTATAATGCCAAAGTTTTTAATA